GAAAGCACAACACCCAAAAGAATGGCTGTAATCAAAACACAGGCAAAAACAAGTGTTGGCAAGGATGTGGAAAAATCTGAACCCTCATCCACTACTGGTGGGAATGCAAAACAATGCAGTCGCTTTGGAAAAATCTGGCCGTTCCTCAAAAGAGTTAACATATGACCCACCAATTTCACCCCAAGGTGTATATACACTCAAGAGAAACAAAAACATAGGTCGCCACAAAAATTTGTACAAGGATGTTCATAACTTGATTCATGACACCCAAAAAGTAGAAACAACCCAAATATTCACCAACTGATGTATGGATAAATAAAATATGGTTAATCTATACAAAGGCATTTCATGTCATTTGGCAATTAAAAAACAATGAATTACGGATACAGGTTGAGCATCCCTAATCTGAAAATGTGGAATCTAAAATCTGAAATTTTTTGAGTGTCCACATGATGCTCAAAGGTCACGCTCAAGGAAGCCCTCATTGGAACATTTGGATTTCGGACTAGGGAGGCTCAACTGGTATAACTGCAAATATTTTAAAATCGAAAAAATCCAAAATCCAACATACTTCTGGTGGCAAGCATAACGATACTCAACCTGTATACGGTATAACATGGAAAAAACCTTTAAAACATTATCCTAAGAGAAAGAAGTCAGCCACAAATGACAATATGTTGGATTCCATTTATATAAAATATCTAGAACAGGCCAGGTGCGGTGGCTCACACCTGCAATCCCAGCCCTTCGGGAGGCCATTGCAAGTGGATCACGAGGTCAGGAGTGTGAGACCAGCCTGGCCAATATGGTGAAACTCCATCTCTGCTAAAAAATACAAAAATTAGGCTGGGCACAGTGGCTCACACCTGTAATCCCAGCACTTTGGGAGGCCGAGGCAGGCAGATCACCTGAGGTCAGCAGTTCGAGATTAGCCTTGCCGACATGGTGAAACCCCGTCTCTACTAAAAATAAAAATTAGCTGGGTGCGGTGGCATGTGCCTGTAGTCCCAGCTACTCAGGTGGCTGAGGCAGGAGAATCACTTGAGCCCGGGAGATAGAGGTTGCAGTAAGCCAAGATCGCAGCACTGCACTCCAGCCTAGGCCACAGAGTGAGACTGTCTCAAAAAAAAACCAAACCAAAACAAAACAAAAATTAGCTGGGCATGGTGGTGTGCGCCTGTAGTCCCAGCTACTTGGGAGGCTGGGGCAGAAGAATCACTTGAAACTGTGAGGCAGAGGTTACAGTCAGCTGAGATCACACCACTGCACTCCAGCCTGGGTGACACAGTGAGACTGTCTAATTAGACCTCAGGAGTTTAGGTGAAAATGGGGAGTGACTGCCAATGGGTACAGGATTTCTTTACTGGGGTGATAAAAATGTCTTAAAATTGATCATAGTGATGGTTGCACAACTTGGAATACACTAAAAATCGCTGAATTGAATTGTACGGTATGTGAGTTACATCTCAATAAAACTGGTTAAAAAATGCAAAGAAAAGATAACCAATACAGACCTAAAACTTTACATAAAACAAATTCATTTTTATTTTATTAAATTTGTTGTTTTTGGAGACAGGGTTTTACTCTATCACCCAGGATGGAGTATAGTGGCATGATCATAGCTCACTGTAACTTCAAACTCCTGGGCTCAAGCGATCCTCTCCACTTAGCCTTCTGAGTAGCTAGGACTGTAAGTTCATGCCACCATACCCAGCTTTTTTCTTCCCCCCCCCCCCCAAGTAGAGACAGGGTCTAGCTATGTTGCCCAGGCTAGTCTCAAACTCTTGGACTCAAGTAGTCCTCCTACCTCAGCCTCCTAAGTAGCTGGGACTACTGGCATGAGCCAGTGCTCCCATCTATATTTCTTTTACACTCAGGGAAAAACAACATATTTACATTTTGTTGTTGTTGTTGAGATGGAGTCTTGCCCTGTCACCCAGGCTAGAGTGCAGTGGTACTATCTCAGCTCACTGCAGCCTCAGTCTCCTGGGTTCAAGTGATTCTCTTGCCTTAGCCTCCTGAGTAGCCAGGATTACAGGGGTGCGCCACCTCGCCCACCTAATCTCTGTAGTTTTAGTAGAGATAGGATTTCACCACATTGGCCAGACTGGTCTCAATCTCCTGACCTCAAGTGATCCGCCCGCCTCAGCCTCCCAAAGTGCTGGGATTACAAGCATGGGCCACCACATCTAGCACATTTACTTTGAAAACCATAATCACCCATTGGAACACACTATAACCATATGTAGTATGGAATGTAAACAGAGTGAAGAATCGTTGGAAAGTCATACTTACAGAATCAATGCCAACAAGAAAAGAGAAGACCGAGAAGAGAGGGCCACTGCAATATCCTAAACTTACAAATATTTAAGAGTCAGCTTAGATGCTTTTCTTTATGAGGCATACTAGCTAGAATGGATGGGATCACAAAAAGTTCTTCCTCCTCATAACAGGAATAAGAAAAGCAGTGTGTAAATGAAATGTGGAAAGGATGACAGTAGTGCTCGTTAGGTGATTTTAAATGGAAGCAATCCTAACAAATTATCACCCACAGAGGTCTAAAGCCTGCAATCACTGTTTTCTCTACTTGTCTCTCTTCCCTAAAATTTATTTTCAACCTAAGAGAAAACTTTATTAATTTAATTCGTGACGAAAAGCTGATGCCTACGCTGAAAAAGCAGTTTTAAGTGTTTGGTGTTTTAACTTAATTAGCCAGCAAAGCCCTCACAAAGTAAGGCAAGATTAAGGTTATATAGCTGAAGGATTTATATTTTAATATTCCTTTTCGAGGTCAGAGGATCCCTAGAGCCTAGGAGGTGGAGGTCAGGGCTGAAGTGAGCTATGATCATGTCACTGCACTTTAGCCTGGAAAATAGTGCAAGACCCTATCCCTTACCACCGCCCCCCCCCAAAAAAAAAGTGAGTTTTCATCTTCTTTATTTGAAAGAATTTTGTTGGCCTTCAGACTAAACTTAAAAAATCGTATTGTTCAGAAAGGCATTTAAAAGTAAATAAGGTAAAAGGTAGCTCCGAGTGTGATGTTCACAAACTCAAATTAAGTCCAAATTCATAATTTTTTGTTGCATTTCCCTTGAAAATTCTGTTTGAGAAGTTCACTGAACAAGAACTAGGAGCACTGGCCTCCAGCACTAGTTTTATAACCAGTTTCCTCAGGAGCCTCAACAAACTGGAGAACCTCTAATTACTTGATAGTTTGTACTTTTAGAATGGGATAATGGAATCTGTACCCTGTATCACTGGGTCGAGACACAAAATTCAGTGAGAGAAAAAACTATGACAGTACTTTGAGGTAAATAACAGATTAGAATATCAATTAGAAGAGGCATGGAGAACAAACAGCTGTAATTATTTCACAGTTTACACTACTTTCAGTTTCTTTTTTTACATCTCTGATAAATGAAAGGCAGAAATTCCTTAAGTTGTACAATATTAAGTAGGAAGTAAATGAAAACAGACCTAAACAAGTAAGTAGGTTTAAAAAAACACACCCAAGGCTGGGCACAGTGGGTCACACCTGTGATCCCAGCACTTTGGGAGGCCCAGGCGGGCGGATCACCTGAGGTTGGGAGTTCGAGACCAGCCTGACCAACATGGAGAAACCCCATCTTTACTAAAAATACAAAAATAGCCGGGCAAGGTGGCGCATGCCTGTAATCCCAGCTGCTTGAGAGGCAGAGGCAGGAGAATCCCTTGAACCCGGGAGGCAGAGGTTGCGGTGAACAGAGATTGAGCCATTGCACTCCTGCCTGGGTGACAGAGAAAGACCGAGTCTCAAAAAACAACAAACAAACCTACACCCAAACAAGCAAAGATTCAGCATTCAACACTATTTCTTTATACTTTTCACTCCTACTCCTGACATTTCTTTCTGCCCGGACTTAATGTCCTCACCAATTCACACAAAATAACTACTCACTGATCAACAGCTCCACAGTGCCCCTAATCCCAAATTTTGTTCATAGCATTCAGATTGCTGGCTTTTATTCACGGGTCACTCCCTTCCTAGCAGCCTTTTTAGTTAGAGGTCTTAGAGGTGGGGCCCAAGCTGTTTTGGTCCATTCATAATCTCTCTGGACAGTCTCTTTTAATGGGTCTTCCCTGTCCTTATTGGGGAAAGAGGCCGTCGAGTTTATTATTTGACAACTCTGCTATTTACACTGGCATATTCATATTACAGTTTTCATGCAATACTGTGTTTGAATGGTTTTACGTTTGGAGCATAGCTGTTCTACTACACTGTGGCCAATTCTCGAGTTTAGCTTACACAGTGTTTGTTGAAAGATGCTCTATCAACGTTATGTAACATTTGTTCTCCATCCAATTACCCCTAACCCCTAGAAAAAAATTTTTAAAAATTTCCCAGCCTCCACGACTACTTCCTCATACTCAATAAACTTTTCACACATGCATCAACATTGTCAACTTACCAAACCGGTGGAAAAAAAAAAAAAGGCACTGAGAGGGGTGATAAAGGGTAGTGTCGTTTGCCTGCTTGGTGTCTGAGGCAGTCCCAAAAACAAAGCAGGGGCTGGGTTAGGGTGGCATGTTTAGGTGGAGGAGCACACTGCTCTGCTTATCTCAGGAAAAGCAATCAACTAGATAAAGTAGGGGGGTTATACCAAAAACACAAAAAGCGTCTCTTCTCTTCCCAGAGCTGATATAAAGGGCAAAGGCCCATGTGTTGGAGACTTAATGGGAGGCTGGGGAAAAGGAGGTAGAGGGAAGAGCCGTGGGTTCTCCTGGGGGAAAAGGGAAAGTAAAAGTGGTTAGTGCACAAAGCACCTCTGGGGGCTGTTGAAACTGGAAAGAGTGGGGCAGGATCGGTGGCCTCCCCGGGCTGTTACCCCACAAGGCGAGGTCCGGCACAGCTGTTACCCCAAGTCTGGGCCGGGCTGCTCCAGGGATGTCCAGAAGTCGGTTCCTCCCCGCGGGCGCGGCCTGCGAGGGCGGGATGTACCCGCCCGGGTCCCGGCACTCACCCCCGCAGTCTCCTCGGCCGAACATTCCAGCAAACTCCGGTCGATGGCCTGCACCTCTGGCTCCAGCTCCGACGCCATCTTCTCTCCTCCTCCTTCCCAGCGCTACCACCGCCCGGAGAGCTGCAGCCTCACCTCGGCCCCAGCGGCCTCGACCGCCACCGCCACTCACTGCCCCAGGCAGTCAGTCCCGGAGCCGTCTAAGTGGCTGCAGGTGGAGCAGGAGAGGGAGAGAAGGGTGACGTGAACCGGAAAGGAGGGACAGCGGCCTCCTGTGCTCCCTCCCAGGTTGAGCGCCCAAGAGTCAAATCACTGGCTTGTCCCTGACCCAGGGAAGGACACAGAAAACCCCAGGCCTGACACTCTCCCTGGCTGGCCACTACCGCGTCCTGCACCGGGAAAGGGGCAATAACACCCAGGAGACGAAGCGGAGCTTTCTGGGTACTGTAGTCGTCCCCAGCAAGGCAGGGAAAAAGGTGGTGCCCTAAATACGGTGCCCCTCGACCGCATTATGGGAGTTGTAGTTCATTCCCAGGGGGCGCTGGATTAAATGACAGATAAGCGGGCGGGGCTTTTCTGCCCAACGAGAATCACGGGAAGAGAGTCATGGAAAGTAGCGCCCCCTGGAAAAAAAGCCGAAGAGCAAGATACTTAGGGGAATTGTAGTTTTTATTCCCTGAATCGCGGGTTTGTTCCTTTTTGTATCTCCAGCTTCAAGAACACTGCCTGGCACGCGGTAGACCCTCAAGGACTTGCCAGTCTGGCTTGGGGTAGGCACTCAAATACTTGTCAAAGGAATGAATGAATTACGTTCTATTCCTGTGGTTCTATGTTCTGTCATCCATCCAACCCTCATCTTTTATACGAGTAATGGAGGTGAACATTACCCAGGTTTTTAAAGGTTTAAAACATGTTTTTTAAAACTTTTCACACGCCTGTAATCCTAGCTCTTTGGGAGGCCAAGGCGGGCGGATCACAAGGTCAGGAGATCGAGACCATCCTGGCTAACACGGCGAAACCCCGTGTCTACTAAAAATACAAAAAAAAAAAAAAAAAAAAAATTTACCGGGGCAGGAGGCTGAGGCAGGAGAATCGCTTGAACCCGGGAGGCAGAGGTTACAGTAAGCCGAGGAGATCATGCCACTGCACTCCAGGCTGAACCACAGAGGGAGACTTTGTCCCAAAAAAAAGAAAAAAAAGTCAAACACTTTAGTGATGACCACTTATAAACTTTATCGCAAATCTTGCTGCAAAGGAAAAAGAGTCTATTAGGCCAATTCAAAGATTTACTTTTAATAGAGACATTTGATTTCTATAGATAGACTAAGCTTGGTGGCTCATGCCTGTAATCCCAGCTCTTTGGTAGACCCAGGAGTTTGAGTTCAGTCTGGACAACATAGTGAGACCCTCGTATCTGATAAAAGTCAAAAAATTTGCCGGGCATGGTGGTGCGCCTGTAGTCCCAGCTACTCGGGAAGCTAAGATGGGAGGATTGCTTGAGCCCAGGCAGTTGAGGCCATAGTGAGCTGTGATCGGCCCGCTGCACTCTAGCCTGGGTGACACAGGTGAGACCTGTATCAAAAAAGAAAAAAAAAAAAAAAGGAAATAGGTAAACATTGTTAAACTAGCTATCAAAGAAAACTATGTTTAGTTAAAGGTAATTAGACTCTTGACTGACAGTGGGTGACTAGGCTTCTTAGAACAAGTCTTTTATCTCTTTAGAGTTTGTCAGAAAATGGCTTAAGTAGATTGTAAATTACATGTAGGGGGGAAAAGTTCAAAGCCAGGTTTAGGACATGTTTATGTTGTTTTGGGATTTTTTTAAAAAATCAATACTATGATATTAACCAGTTTTTTAAAAAAGGAAATAAGAAATTATCTGTACCCCTGTAACCTCGCAATCCAATTATGCCTTATTATAACTTTTTAAAATAAAGGTAATATGTGTATAACATCAGAAATTCAAACTCAAAAAGAATGTTTCAAAAAAGGAAAATTGAAAACTTCTTATTCTTCTTACCCCAAGTTCCTCTCCCCAAAGAAAATAATTTTAACACTTTCTCATGATTCTGTCCAGAAAAATGTATGCACATATCTACACAGATATCTATAATGACATAACTTGAAATATTATTCTATGTCTTTTTTTCTTTTCACTCAAATTCCTTGCACTGATCCACTCAGGACAGAGTCAACCTGGAGAAAAACTGGGATTGTCCCAGCCTGGAAGCAAAAACAACATCTCTTGAGGGGTCCTAACATAGAATTTAAGTCATTAATATAGACTGTAAATGCAATTTCTGTTCTTAGCATTATTTGCTTCCTAACATTATTTGTTTCATGCTGAGCATGGTGGCTCACACCTGTAATCCCAAAACTTTGGGGGGCCAAGTTGGGAGGACAACTTGAGGCCAGGAGTTTGAGAGCAGCCTGGGCAACCTAGCAAGACCCTATCTCTACGAAATAGTTTAAAAATTAGCCAAGCGTGGTGGCCCATGCTTGTAGTCCTAGCTACTTTGGGAGGCTGAGGGAGAAAGGATGACTTAAGCCTACAAGTTCAAGGCTGCAGGCTGTAGTGAGCTATGATTGTATCACTGCACTCTAGCCTGGGTGACAGAATGAGAACCTGAATCTAAAAAAAAAAAAAAAAAAAAAAAAAAAAGGATTGTTTTCTTTGTGCATCATAATTATGAATTTGGAGATCATCGTCACTGAGCGTTAGCAGTGGGAATCTCCATGTATTAATACTTTCAAAGTATTTTTTCTGCAAGGCCAGACATTCTAGAAAACATCATATACTCAGGACCAGATTACTCTAGGAGTATCCTATATCGAGGATCAATTGTAAGTTAGTTTCTAGGCTTGAGGATTCCTTAATTGTATTAACTCAGTTGTGTGCCATTTCTCTGTCTATAATTTTTGTTTGTTTGTTTCGAGATGGAGTCTCACTTTGTTGCCCTGGTTGGAGTGCATTGGTGTGATCTTGGCTCACTGCAACCTCTGCCTCCTGGGTTCAAGCGATTCTCCTGCCCCTCAGCTTCCCAAGTAGCTGGGATTAGATGCATTGGTGGTATAGTGGTGAGCATAGCTACCTTTCAAGTAGCTAGGATTACAGACATGTGCCATCACACCTGGCTAATTTTTGTATTTTTAGTAGAGATGGGGTTTTACCATGTTGGTCAGGCTGGTCTTGAACTCCTGACCTCAGGTGATCCACCTGTCTCAGCCTCCCAAAGTGCTGGAATTACAGGTGTGAGCCGCTGCACTGGCCTGTCTATAAATTTTTAAGGAGAATTCTTTTTCCTACTCAGAGTCAAGGTAAAAAGCTTCTTTGTCATTTTTCTATGCCAGTTGGTGGTTTTTTTTTCCTAGTCTACCTTTTCACTGATACTACATTCCTTTGAAAGCCCTGCCTTTATGTAGGGGATCTCAATTTCAATTCTAATGTTTCTTTGACCCAGGGTCTTGTTTTCTCTTCCCATGGGGGCATTAAAAACTAAGCCCCAACTTCCAGTTAAATGTGGCGGATTGAATACCTCATGACAGCAAAGGGAGAAAAAAAGAACAGAAGAGAAGATGACAGCACCAAAATCTGGTGGAAAGCAAGTGGTTGAGAAGTAACTAACAGAATGCTGAAACCTAGGCTAGCAATAGAGGCGTCAAGCTAATTAATATGCAGAATCCTGAAAGACTTAAACATTTGAGGCACCACGTAACTCTGAAAGTGGGTAAAGATGATGCTAAAAGCAAGCTTATCGTTAGAAAGTCTGTATAGCAAGAAGTTAGATTTCCTCATTTCCTTCTCTGGAAGAAGACTGGAGCTTTACCCTCTAGACTGGCTACACTTGAAGGCCTTTTGATTGGGAGATATCAGACACAGCTGAGGACAAGGATACCGCACTGCATTCAAGAGAGGTGAATCAAAGTCTACAAACTGAACGGGGATAACCTAGCCTGTTTCCCCATTTGGCTCTGAGAGCCTTAGTGGCCAGGCTTATATCTCCCAGGCAAGAGTTTGGGAGGATCTTTTCCAGAGAGGTAGACTATCCCCCACCACCCCTCCCCAAATCTGTGGAGGGTAAGACCCCAACAAAATGGTATAGTCAGTTTACCCCACCCATGCATAAAACTTCTAATCATATTTTTAGTAAGCCATTCTTAAATATGAATAGGCAGGCAGTTGTGTACAGATATTTGAGCAAAGCCTATGAAAGAGAGACTAAAACAAAAATGACCAAGGAAGAAACAGACACAAGTCAGAAAGTTGGGAAGAAATTTTACAAATGTTAATGAAATTATTGGAGGAGATAAGCAAGGATTTTATATCCAAGAAAGAAGTAGAGGAGGCTAGGGAAAAAAAAACCTTTTTTTTTTTTTTGAGAATAAGTTTTGCTCTGTCACCAAGAACTTTCATTCAATATTTTAAAAAAATTTTGTTTGGAGATGGAGCCTCATTCTGTCACCCAGGCTGCACTGCAACCTCCACTTCCCAGGTTCAAGTGATTCTCCACTTCCCTTCCCAGGTTCAAGTGATTCTCCACTTCCCTTCCCAGGTTCAAGTGATTCTCCACTTCCCTTCCCAGGTTCAAGTGATTCTCCTGTCTCAGCCTCCTGATTAGCTGTGATTACAGGCAACTGCCACCACATCCAACTATTTTTCTTTTTTTTTTAAGTAGAGACAGGGCTTCACTATCTTGGCCAGGCTGGTCTGGAGCTCCTGACCTCAAGTGATCTGCCCGCATTGGCCTCCCAAAGTGCTGGGATTACAGGTGTGAGCCACTGTGCTCGGCCATCATTCAGTATTATTTAAATCACCTGAAACATTGGAAAGAGCCACTGAATTAATTAATAAGGTTAAATACATTATAATGCATTCATATAATGGAATACAATGCAGCCATTAAAAATAATGAAGCATTGGCCAGGCACAGTGGCTCTTGCCTGCAATCCCAGCACTTTGGGAGGCTGAGGCAGGCAGACAGCCTGAGGTCAGGAGTTGGAGACCAGGCTGTCTGACATGGTGAAACCCTGTCTCTACGAAAAATATAAAAATTAGCCAGGTGTGGTGGCACATGCCTGTAATCCCAGCTACTTGGGAGGCTGAGGTAGGAGAATTGCTTGAACCCAGGAGGCAGAGGTTGTGGTGAGCCAAGATCACACCATTGTATTCCAGCCTGGGCAACAAGAACAAAATTCCATCTCAAAAAAAAAAATAAATAAAATCTATCTTTCTAGATTTTGTGATGTCTATGATATTTTTGTTAGCTTTTAAAAATTTGTGTAATTTGTTGTGATTTCCTTTCTCATTGTAAATAAATATTCATTTTCATACCAAATGTCATATTTGCAATTTTCTATTTTACTTTTAAAAAGAGGATCCTCAAACTGTATAAGCTTCAGGCCCCACAAGACCTAGATCCATTCCTGCCTGATACACAGCTGACATTCTCAAAGCTCTTTTCAC